ATGGCACAGATGTGCCTATATCCTGTATCTGCCAATATCCTCTATCTATTTGCTAATCATAAAGTTCATTTGTATTTCAGTGGCTAATCTTTTTATCTAAATAGATACACTGTCCAAGTCAGTATCCTTCAGAGTTTGATCCCAAATCCTCTCTACCTGCCATCACTCTAAGCCTAAATGGTGAGTTTATTACTGTTGTTAATTCCTGGACTTACTTTTTCTCACTAGTATGTGATCTTTTATAGTATTTTTGTTCTCCCTTATTTCTTAAATAAATGGATAGCTTTTACTACTGCAGATGAAATGATCCAATAATATCTGTCTGTAGTGATCTGAATAATGAGCAAATGATACTTTTAATACAGGTAGCTTTGCTTTTGAGCTTCTATTCAAACTAAGTGGAGTATTAAATTAGACAATGATTGAATTTTGGGAAAAGCATTGTACCAGCTACATTTTAAACTGGCTTTTAATAATGTATTTCTAGTGGAACTTCTGAAGAGCTGTTTAATGTTTTTTGAATGGCCATAGACACATTGAATGTCATTTTACGCTGTTTATAGTGGTGAAATTCTCAATATTGCTTTGTAGATAAAATGTGTACCTTTGATTTGAGTTCACTTTGTACATCATGTGCCATAATCTCTTCTGGAGTACAGCTCAAAAGGCCCTGACCTGTGCATAAGATTGCAGAAACCTCATTTTTATTTGTCTTTATTTTTTTGGCATTTTTCCTTTTTTTTGGTTTAAAGATAGAGGCAAATTTTTCCATCTGTATAGCTTGAAATCTTTTTCTTAAGAGTGTGGATTCCTTATTTTTTACTAGCGCGCTAATGGTTCCTGAAATAACTTCAAGTATTTTCCTGATTAAAGTCTCTCACACCTTAGAGAAAAAGGAAGTTGTCTGGGATCACAAGTCATCTACTACAACATTGAATGGAAACTGCTTGTGGAGATGATTTGGTTAGGTGGGGTTTTGTTTTTTGGTTTGTTTGGTTTTTGTTTTCTTTTTTTTTTTGGTTTGTGGGTTTAGTTTTTTTTGTTTTCTTGGTTTTTGTTTTGTTGGTTTTTTTCGATTTTTTTATTTTGTTTTTAATTTTGGCTTTTTTGTTTTGGGTTTTCTTTGTTTTTTTAAAATTTTTGTTTATTTGGGTTTTTTTTGTTTTTTGTCTTTTTATTTTTTTCTTTGTTTTGGTGTTTTGATTTTGGTTTTTTTATTTTTTTTATTTTGGGTTTTTTGTTTTGTTGAGTTTTTTGTTGTTTTGGGGGTTTTTTGGTTGAATTTTTTTGGGTTTTGGTTTGGGGTTTTTTTTGTTTTGGTTTGGTGGGGTTTTTTTTGTGTTTTGTTTTTGGTTTATTTTGCTTGTTTTGGTTTTTGTTTTTTTGTTTGTTTGTTTCTTTATGGGTTTTTTTTTTACCCTAAGCAGATATGGAAAAATTTCAAAGCAGGAATTTAGGGCTTGGGATTTTTTTCAAATGGGGAGACTGAGGCTTGAGGAAGCTTGGGGACTGGCCCACTGCCACCAGTCACGTCAGTCACTGGTAACAGCACTGACAGAGGTGTTGCACTCAAGACAAGGCATTAGCTTGGCTAGAATGCCTTTGAGCTGAAAGGTGTCTGCAGCTTGAATGAGAGTTGACTCCTCTCATTTTCTTCTTCAGAGAAATTATTAATGATCTTATTCAGCCTGCTGTCTTGCTAATATCAAGGATCAATAAAAATATGTAGTCTTATACATTCATCATCCTTCTTGAGATAGACACGGTGTTTGATGAAAGCAAAAAGGTTTACGGACAGCTGGAGTATGCCAGTTTTGAGAAGGATGATAGGGTGCAATACAGATGGATGTAGAAAAAAACCCCAAAGGGTAAATAAGGGATTGCTAAAATACAGCAGCAGGATAGGATGAAAGCAAGTGCAAGTATGTGAGTCCATCTGGAGTCAAATCTCCTGAACTGTTTACTATAAACTGTTAATATAGCTGTAAATATTATTGATAAACCAAATTGGAACTCTGGTAAACAGGATCCTGAAAATTTAAAGAGGTTATTGTCTAGAATATGAAAGCTAGAAATGCCCTTCTAAATTAAAGTAGTGTCATATTTGTCATTAAAAAATGAGACATTATTTTTACTCCCACTTGCATGACGAGTGGATGGAAAAGATCAGCAGTAAGCAGCAAAAGCTTGTGGGGAAAAATGACCAATGTCACCTTTCAAGCCACAAAAGCTGCAGCAACTGAATTTTTATGTTGCTTCCCAGCTCCCCACAATGACTTACAGTTAACATTTGCAGCAGTGGCTGCTGAGAGCTAAAGGCTTACTCAGCAGAAGTTACCTAAGGTGAACACGCAGTGCTCGCTCGTATGGGGTCAGCGTGAGATGAAAACGCTTCACACCCCACCACCATCAATATTGCCAGATAGGGAGGGCACCCACATGATAACAGGGCTGGCTGTGACCTTGGTGGATGTGACAAACACCCCACATTACAGCAGTTCACAAGTGGCAATAAGTAATAGGGCTCGCAGAGGTGGCCATCAAATATAAGTAATTAACTGGAGCAATGCAGAGAGAATGCATGAGCCTGGGAAATGGTCCAAGGGAGAAATATAAAAAATACCCAGCCAAATCAGGGGAAAAAGGCAGTTTTGTTTTAAGACAAGAGACTTATGAAGGTTGCTGATAGTGTCCTGGGCTGGCTGGGAAGTGGAGATAAGTTGGATGAATGCTATATAAAAAAATAAATACCTTGCATGCTTTGGATAGTATCACATTGGCAGAATTGGTATTTTCTTTCCTGTTCACAAATGATACATACAGCAAACTAATACATATCCCATGGGAGGGGGGAGGGAAGGATATGTCCAAACTGGGGCTTAAAACATAAATACATCCAGGGCCAGCATCCTGGACTTAAAGTAAAACATTATTGCATTCATTTTAAATAATTTTTTTTTTTTTTCTCATTCTCACCCATGTGAAGGGAAAGAGATGAGACTTGAAAACATCTCCAGCATGTAACAGAAGTAGTGGTGCCTTCCTGAGTCAGCAGCTGAGAAGTGTGGGGGAAAAAAATGAAATTAGAAGAGATTATTGCAGTGCAAAGGTGTGTCAGAACTACAGGTCACACAGAAAGAATTAGTCCTGCAGAGGCATTTCTACCAATGAAGTGTGTCCTGTGGATTTCTCAAGCATGTACACTGTTATTAAAAGTATAAATTCAGAAGAAAGCCATTTTAGCTAGCTTTGTCTCTAAGCATCCATCACTTTCTAAAGATTTGGAATCTTGTGTGATGGAAGTTCAACCTTCAAAATGCTTCAGTCTCTCACTATAAGAAGACAGTGCCATCTTACAAGTATCAAAATCTTTCTTTTTTGCAGCAGCAGCAGATCAAACTTTATTATCTATTTTCATCATATCCTGCTCTTCACCTTTTCTAAAAACTGGATGTTACTAAGTAGACAATATTTGAGGTTTCCTGTGGCAGGGAAGAGCCACACGTTACAAGCCTTTAAAATCCAAGACTTTATGCCTCCATTTTGTGTAACCTCTGGAGAACACTTGAGTTGAAAAATTGAAGAAAAATATAGCAATCTCTTTTTCCCCCTTGTGCTTTACAGGTATGGCTGCAAAATAGAGCATTTGGGCAATCAAAGTTTGGGACAAATGATAAGAATGTTCAAATACAAGAAAAAAAGAAAAATATTTACAAATCAATGATCTACTTAGAACTATCTCATTTTTATAGTGGACAGCAAGCCCACTATTGTGTGCAGAGAGAAATCTTACTGAACTCTTGCTCTGCTTTTCTAGGAATTCCATAACTGGACATAGAAGCAGGCAATATTCCCTCCCCTTCATGTCTTCCCCTTTCAATTTAATAAGCTGGGGCAGTCTTAAACAGGTGCCATGGAAAAGAAACAACAATTGTTTAAGATTGTCCTGTGGCTCATATCAAAGGTGCTTCTGAAACTACATGACAAGCAGAGAGGTTTGAGCAAGAGACAGAAATAGAACTTCCTCAGAGGCTGTGATTGCAGAGAGATGACCCAGGGAACACTTGGTCAGGTCATAATCATAAAGAACTGGTTTCCTTAACAGGGGTGGTGAGCCTTTTCTTTTGTACTAGATTTTTTCTTTTAATGAGCTGTGGGTTTGAAGGTGTTCCACTTTTGCAAATTGCCCAAATTCCTCAAGTGCTCAGTACTCAAAGTGAAAATTCTCTTTAAAAATAGCTGTTTTCTCTGAAGATAAACCAGTTGAGTCCCCTTGAAAATCAAGCCCAGGCCCTTGCAAAAAGGACAATTTTATCTTACTTGCAATAGCAGCACAATGACTTCAAATAGCACAAAAGAGTAGAACTTGATGTCTTCAGCCTGGTGTATTCCAGAGTTTCTTAAAGAAATGAAGAACAATAGTAGGGAGGTTGCCTATGAATAGGTCTGAGAACAATTGAGAAGTGGAAATAATTGATTGACTTGGAAATCTTCAATTTTGGTTTTTCTGTACGTTAAAAGACCATGGGTTAAAAAAAAATTAATATGCATTGTTGAATAATTTTGACTACTGGCTGTTTGAAGATGCCTTATCAACAGGTCAGATGCTTGTTGTGGTACCTAAATCCTGCAGTGGACAATAACTATCAAAATTGCTAGAGGATTTAAAAATACAATTTCAAAGGACTCTAGAAAGTTAGATGTTTATAGGCATTTCTATGCTTTTGAAAATCTGCTCCTGAATACTACTGTTAAGAGATGTATAGAGCACCTAAATAAATAAATTATATGCAATTTTAAGGTAAAGTCAATAAATAATTCTAGAGTGCTATCTATCAAATTATTGATGTAGATATATCTTTTGATTGAATGTTCTTCTGTAGCTACAAACTCTTGTTCTCATGCTGTTTTTTCAAGAATGTACCATATTTGATGATAATAAGTAAGCTTCTATTTTCTTGAAAACACTCCTAGCTGGAAATCCCATTGAAAACAGTGTAGTTGACCTTGTTCACATCATCTATGGAATCATGCCTCTTCTTAGGTATAGAAACTGTCTGGTCATGTTGAATACTATTCTGGTAAAAATCTGTGGGAAACTTTGGAATTGTCATGGAAACCTTTCAACTGAGAGCTGGTAAGTTTGCTCCAAGCACACGATTTTTACTGGCTGCCTTTAATTCCTGAATTTCTGATGCTTTTTTCATTTAATCCAGTTCCCTAAAATATAAGCTTCCCTAAATGATTAGACTTTTGTGGATGGATGCATACGGTTCTTTCCAAGACAGGCACCTTTTCAGAAGAGAGAAGACACTGTTTTGGGATGAAACCACCCAGAACAGTTGCTAGAACATATTTCCATCCACAGCTGATGGCCAGCTGGCAGTGCCTCTTTGCTGGCTGCAGATACTTGCCAGAACTAAATGTGGTTTTGTCCTCCCTGCCTTCCAATTTTCTTCTTTACATTTTAATATTCCCTTTGTTTCTAATGTTTCACAATCATCTACCCTGTGACCCTTTGTAAGGCAGATATAAGGATATACAACCTTTTTCTTTAATATATAATAGTATGTAATATTGGGGCCAAACAAGTATTCCTCAACTAGATTGGAAGATAAAAATTCAATATTTTACACACAGTTTTGCATTCCTTTATATTCAATTCATTATATGTTTTGTGATGAAGCTGCTGCTGAAATGTATATCAACTATTTCTCTAACTAATATTCTGTTTATATTAATGGTAATTTTAGAATGTATTACCTATCTCTTGACAGTTCTTGGGGGCATAATATATATTCAATTTACAGAGCTCATGATATTTTCAGGATGCAGAACAGTGCCACTAGCATTAGTTAGAGCAAGAAGTAAAAAGCATTTTAAAAAACTATTCAAACCAGATTTTTTTCCCCCCTATGGTTAAAAAACAGGAGTTTGGCTGTTGGTAGGAACTACAATTTTACAAGTTTTGAAGGGAAGTAAGAGTTAGTACAGACTGACATTGGGTAATTTTACATGTTTTTGGCGTTTGTTCCAAGTATTTCAATTTAAAAAAGCCTAAATAGCATTGCTGTACTAAATAGAAATTCTTCATAATGCACAAAAGTGCAGTTGCACTTCATATGCATGTTATATTTTGTATTAAATGTAAAATTATGCAATGAATTATGCGTATTGTTTTGGCAAATTATGGGTTTGTTTTGTTTTTGCAATGCACTATCTGATGAAAATTTGAGTGGAAGTTTTCCATGTATTAGATGATATTTCCCCTGATAATATTTTTATCAATCTAACTTATTAATATTTTTCTTTACAGTCTGGTGCCTCATTATCATTAATGTTTATATACAGCAGGAATAAAAAAGCCTTAAGAAGAGCATCTTAGAAAAACTCTAGGAAACTGTTGACATCCTTTTTGCTTCATATAGAGTTATGTACAGGTACTTGCTCTATTTTCTTGATTTTTTGTTTTTCTTGGCAGGACTTTATCTTTCCTATGCACTCATAAAACTATACAGTTGAAAATAACTGAAAATTAAACAACAGTTTCTATGAAGAAGCTCACTGTATTTTCTATTAAAAAATTGGACTGTGCTTTCTTGTACTATAGAACTCTTAAAAAGGGACATTTTTCAATAAATATTATGGAAAGTTAACAAATACTGCAGTGTACTGAACCTTGTCTTTGAAACATATTTCTTTTAACCTTTTAAATCAGTGGAAGCATCTTTTTTCAGATAAATCTACTGAAATTTATTACAGAAAGCTGAACAGAAAATGGCAGAACTGTCTCATGCAAACTAGCTGTAGCACAACTGTACTCTTAAAAAAACGTTTTAAATTTCATGTTAACTCCATAGAAATAATCATAAAATCAATGCAGTGTTAGTTCTGGAAATTTCTGAGGCTGGTCACTGTTAAATATTTCTTCTTAAATAAACACTTTGAACAGTTTTTTGCTAAGTGCTCAGTGTTCAAATCCCTTTCTGTATGGTATAATAATTTATGTTCTCCAAATGTTATCTAGATTGGAAATATAGATATCAGGCATGGTGTGGTACTTTAAGTAACATTCACTGTCTAAATGTAAATTTGGGAAGTAGTTTGCAGACATTAATATTTTACAAAAATTTTTTTACTTGCAGGTTATTAAGTCTGAGACACATTAAAGATGTGAGTTTTAAATGATTGTTCTATAAAATTTTATCCATGGCTCTGTAGATGAGTTTGGAGATGTCGTACATGCAAAAAGAGAAGCTAAGGTTGTTAGACTGTTGGGGCCACTGAAGTGAAAATAAAAGTGGCAAAAAGGGGAATATTGAATCTGAAACTTGAATTCAGCAGGGCAATGTGATTTCTTCTGATGGGTATAGGGAGGTAATAATCCTAAAAAAACTCCTCTGTGCATGAATAAAGAGGTTTCAAAAAGTAGTAATGATGAGTGAGGAGAAAGAGGAGAGGAAGCAAGGTTATTAAGAAACTAATTATAAATTAGCAGCAAAGATTGTTATCAATGTGCCACAACAAAAGAGAAGAGATAATTCAAATTATGATAGTGAAGAAAAGGTCAAGGTTTCCTCCTCTCCCACAGTGCATCTCCTACAAGCCTTGTTCTTTTTCCTGTCCCTTGCAGGTTTGTTGGAAGTGCAGCCTTTGTTTGTCCTGGTCTGGAGGCTACTGACAAAGATCCTTTCTGTCCCTAGCCTTCTTTGGCCTGTGTTTGCAGAGGTCTGGCACTGTAAGGCATAATATACACCTAACTGGCAAAAATTTCCATTTTTTGGATTGACTCTTTTGGGATTTTGGATTCATAAATTCTTATTATAAGAGATAAAGATAAAAGAAAAATTTAATTATAAGATAATCAAATTATAAGAGATATTATGAAACTGAATATGGGTTCTTGAGTGGTGACCGTGGAGCAATGACATGGGAGATGGAATACAGAGGGGGCAGAGTATCAAACTTGGTGTAGTCAGCCCCTGAACAGTTTAAAAGTGGCAGATAAGAGAAAAACAGGGACCAAATCAAACTGGTGGTGTAAACACACATAGAGGCATTCCAAGTTTCCTCTCTAGTCCTGCATAATGTCTAGCTCCAAATATTTACCTGTGCTTTCCTACAGGCTTGTAAATTTTTGATACTCATTGGTGAGGGTATGGAACAGGTTCTTTCTGAGAAAGATGAAAATAATGATAAATGTTTGAAATATGGATAAAAGAAAGCATTCACTTCAAAGACTTCACACTGTATTATTGAAATTAATGCTAAGGTTTATTCAGTTCTCACTCGTTATATTTGTCTTGTGTTGAGTAGTGATGATTACACGACATTGATGCATGAACTAATATTCTAATAGATTTTTAATTGAACTGAGGGAAATACTTGTGGGGTCAAAGTTTTTAATGAATGAGCAGATTAAATGTCCCATGAAAGGTACCATATGGTTTTTTAAAATCTGAAAATTAGTTGCAAAGTCACAGTTAATTTAATTATATGGCCTCTCTGTCTTGGGATAATGAAGTAGACTGAGAGTTATAATAGAGAATGAAACCTTTGCTATTGCGAGACCTTTTAAAAAAGAAATGTTTGGATAACTGCTTTTAAATTACTCTGCTCATATTTATGAGTGTGTTGTTTTAAAGATAATATATTTAGGTCATAACACAATGGTGATTGGTGTGTCATCTTCTCTGCTGTACCTCCTTGCTGTGCCAGTGTCACTCCTTATGCACGCACATTTTGCTCACAGTACAGCAAATATTTTGGGCCACTTACAAGTTTCTTAGTTTTAAGTACACTGACCTGCACTTTTGACAAGTATACACTGACTTTTACAGAAAATCCTTGTAATGAAACCTCTCCTTTGAATATACCTGCAGCTATCATTAAAATGGTTTGAAAACAACTTATGTATACTAAACCTCAGAATTTTACACAGTCTTTCTTGACCAACAATGCATTATGGTAGTCCTTCTGGATCTCTATTTGATTTATGCTCATACTTGTTGAAATTTTCAGATGCCTCTTCTTCTTACCAATGCAGTGTTATTTACTAGTTCTGGTCACTACCAACATTTTTTTTTAAATGTAATTTCTTGACCCGCACTGGTTTTCTTCTTCCCAGGTGAATGATAAATAAAGTCAAGTCTTTGATTCATTAATTTGAATACTTATGAAGATCATGGACCAAAGTTTATCTTGTCTTGAAGACAACATAGAACTTGTGTAAAGAATTAAATGAGATTGTTCACAGAAATCGTTCTCTACCCCAGTGAATATTCTGCTTTTAATGAAGCAGAGAATTCAGAAGTCTATTCAGCAGAAAAGTCAGTTATTGGTTAGAAATAAGGGTGGTTCTGATTTCATTTTCTCAGATGTAGTGTAAAAAAGTTCTTTTAAATGTAAATTTCTTTTTATTCTGGTCAAGTATCTTTCTTGAAGATGTACACTCAAGATGCAAAGACATGAAATCAACTTCCACGATGTCTGGAAAAAAGTAGCCTCAGAAATCTTATTAATAATTGTTAAATAAATAAATATGCAGAAATAGAAAATTAATTGATTAGAGTTATTGAATGAGTAATCTATTTTTTAAAAAATCAATAAAAGTAAATGGAAAAAAAGTCAAATTTCACTGATCAGCAAGAACTAAATTATTTTCTTTACTAACAGCTCAATGATGTGTGCATCTTTTCAAATAGATTGATCAGAGACTTTAAGTATCCATTCTGTCGTCTTATACCAAAATGAAATAATAGGGAAACGTCAGAAGTTGTCAGAAGAAGTAGAAAGAAACCCTGGTTTGAAATAGTGAATACCCAGAGAAAACTGGAATAGATAACCTGAGTCATTGTTAAAAGAGATTTAATTATTTTCTTTTCCTTGTCTCCTCTATTTTCAGGGGCATAGGTGTTTCTACAGACCTGTGATATTGTCTTGTACTTAACTATTTCCTCCTCAAACCTATTCGCCTTTCTTTTTCAAATGACCAGTTTTGAATACTTTCATTCACAAGTGTTCATGGTAGGGTAATATAGTGAATCTTTTTGATTACATTTGTGGTGAAATATTTCCCAGTTCTTGTCATATTATTAAAATATGCAGCACAGGACTTTGATGACATAAAGGGAACTACATACGCAAACAATTTTTTGCTGATCTAAATGACTGTGCTACTGAGTATTAAAAGTGTGTTTTATAGGAGATAAAGGATTTGGAGTGCTCCTCTGTGCAAAATACTTTTGTTAGATAGGAAACACTTCTTTGCCTCCAAAAATTTCATGCTGAAGAGAGGATTTGCAGACAGATTGATTAGCATAGGAGAACAGTTTGGGGTTTTCTTAATGTGCCCTAGGATATAAATAATTCTCAACTACCATTTGCCTGAATCTCAATTCTTTGAAACCTATACCAGAAAAAAAAAACATTAATAGTAAGCACATGTAAAGGTGAGCTTAAAAATTTCAAAACCTTTTCCATGGAGCTGGTTAGATGGAAACCTATGGGAAATACTTTAAAAAGCAATAGCTTAGAAAGGAGAATTCTGACATGATTTATTGTCTGCAGAGTTAGGGAGAAAGGTACAGTAGTAAGCTTGTGTCTAGTGCCCTGAAGCAGAGGTGTATTCAGCCCAGATATGCCATGAGAGTGGAAGGCCCAGGTCTCTTCTGGCCTGTAAAGGCAGGAGAATATAAAAAATTTTACCTCCTTCCTGAGCTGACTTTGACCTTAATCTTCTGTTCAGGAACTGGGCTTAAGACTGCAGTGGTTTATTTCACTCAGAGTACAATTCCTCTGATGTACATTTTCTCTGTAAACACCTTTAACTTCTCAGTTGTTTTTCTTTTTAAACCATAAGGCTGGATTAAAAGTAGTTTTTAGGCTGTGGCTCTTCAATTCTGTCTGCCTTATAATGTTGTGAGTAATAACTGTGACCATTCTTACATTAAGTGCAATCTTTGTTTTGATGTATGCCATATGCAGTAAAAGCTGGAAAGCTGAAAGTAGATTTAAATTGACCAAAAAATAGGCAATTGAGGTTTTATACTGGTTTGGGTTTGGTTGGTTTTTTTGTTGGCATTTTTTTTTGTAATAGCTGAAATCTGTGAGAACTCTAAGCATAAGTTTCTACCCCTGGGGGGGACCCTGACATTCAATAAGAATGGAAGAATATTTAAATCTGGGTTAAAGGGAGGTGAAATATGAGGAAGACATGAAAGAGTCAGTGGAGGAAAATAGGAAAAGTTGTTTTTATATTGACATACCATGTGTCAATAATATCAAAGTGTTTGATATTGTTATTATGTAACTATGAGAAACAAGGTTTTGGGTTACTTATGGTCTAATAATTTAATGTTAAATGTATTGTAAATAATCTTCAATCCTGGTTTTAAAATTTAAAAAATGAATGAACAGCCAAAATGTAACTCTTAAACATTATTGAAAAAAAATTCATTCTGTTACTTTAATTATTTATTACATCTGACTCTATCTGTTGATAGCCATATGGAAGATCATCCTTTATGATGAGTTACTGCAGTTGTGCCTTCTTTATACTATTGGTTTTTACTTTGCTTAAATTAGACTTTGTAATTCTTCAGATTATAGACATTTGCAACTAAATCTGATAGATTCTGATAGGTTTTGTGTGTTTTTTAAGGATTCTATATAACACCAAGTGCTCTGCCTATTACTGATCATTACTACTTGGAATAATATATCTAGTAAAAAAATCCCCAAACTATACTATAACAATGGAAAAATAGACAATTGATATTTTAAGTAATTCCTGAAGAAAGTGTTCTGGTGAAATTACCAGGGTTGGAACAGTTTGATTGCAATAAATAGTGAGGAAAGATGAGGGAAATATATTCAAGTGGAACTTTCTTAGCTGAAAAACAAAATAAGCTGAGAGTGAGAGAGAGCAAGGGGGCAAGTTTTTATTTCTTGATGAAGACAAGTCCTTCCTTCTTGTCTGAAGGACAAATAGTGGGGAAAAAATCCAACAGTAAAATTGTCAGGTTCTGATTTCTGGACTTTTGCCTGTACAGAAAGTAAGGAAAGTGGTTTCTAGCTAGTTAGATGTATGAAGGCATCTTGGCAGTGAGTGACTGATGTGGACAATGCTGTTGTCATCTACACTGTCACCCTCTCCAAACTACAGGGAGACTTTGCTGGACTGCTCATGCAGCAGTTCTGTTTGCCACCTTCAGCTCTTCTGGTATTACAGAGAGAATTTATTCAGAAGCACCGGCATGTTTAGCACCTGATCCTGAGAATATGAACATGAATAAATTCCTACATGAGGCCTGTCCCACTGGAATGCAATGCTTAAAGTGAACTGCATAGCTAGAATTGTTCTTGTGAGTAGAAAGGAGGTAGTATTTTCCAAAGGCGTAATCCACACCCTCTGACATCATATATGTAAAGCAGGGCACAGAAGGAGGAAGGGAAGGATGTTGGCAGTGATGTTGTTTGTACTCCCAAGTCACAGTTTTGTGTGAGGGAGCCCTACTTTCCTATGGATGGCTGAACACCTGCCTGCCTGTGGCAAGTGGTGAATGAAAACTTTGTTTCACTGTGCTTGCATGTCTGGGTTTTTGTTTTTGACTAGTTAATCTGTCTTTATCTCAGCCTGTGGGTATTCTCATTTTTATTCTACCAAATCTTTCCCCCATCCCAACATGGAGGCAGTGAG